AATGTCGGCTTAATTTCTTTATATTTCACTTACATGATCATTTACTATAAGGTTTTGCCTTTCAGCCTAAAAGTACGCTTGCAAAGAGCACACGGCTTTTAGGATTGAGATGGTGATTTCATTTCAGGTCTTCAATAGACTTGTGGTAGGAAATTAAACAAGTGACACAACCACAGTCATTGCCTGAACTTGCTTATTTTATGAACTGTAATAAAAATGCTTGTTATCAAACATTAAGTATGGAGTGTTTTGAACTCCTTGGATGAAATACTTAATTTGAATTTACTCAGCCTTGTAAATAAATTTAAAAGATTAATTGACCTGCACAAATTTGTTACCAACCTTCTCTCTCCCATGGTGACTAACTTCTAGTAAAATGAAGGAAATTAACATTTCTTTCAATATCCCCCTCAGATATTAGTGTTCACAGGAGTTGAGCAGATCAGTACCTCTTTCTTACCCAGTATAGACCCACCACAATACAATAAAGTGTTGTGTGGGAAAACAGCTTACATTAGGGTAGAATACAGTTTTAGGATCACGGAAGGTCTATGAATTTGGCCTAGATTTAAAGTAATGAATAACACAAAGATTTCCAGAACAGGGTTTCTGTGCCAGGAATGTTCTCCTTAAGGGAAATCCCTAGATGAAATGACTTGGGGGGAAAAATCCAGTCTGAAAATTGGGTTCTTTTTTGTCCTATTTTACTCTGAAAGTAGCTACGAACAAAAGCACTAAAGAACAAAATAAACAGAGGTTTGAGGGTACAGCGCTTCCTTCTCTCATCACTGGTTAAATCACAGGAGAATAGGCAATACAGGAGGAGGCAGTGAGCGAGAGAGACAGAGAAACTAAGAGAGGAGAAATAGTATGAGCTGGTGAGATAAGTCCTCTCCAGAACTTTGCAGGAAAACTGTGGGCTTAGTAGGTCAGGAACAGATCCCAGAAAGACTCCTCAGAGAACTGTGTTGTTGCTGATTCTCTAGTTTTGGATTGGCTTTCTTGAATCTTTTACCCTTCGTTTGTGCTTAACCCCGACAGGAGACTCAAATAGCCAAGAACTTCCAACTGTAGGTTCCAGGCATTTGGGCCTAACAATGCTACTGTTCTGTACTCTAAGTCGACATTTAGCACCATCAATGTGGTTTAGTAGATCTCAACCTTCAAAACATAATTTAAAAACAGTTATAAATAGGGGCACCTGGGTGGTTCAGTCAGTTGGGCATCCAACCCTGGCTCAAGTCACGATCTCATGGTTTGTGAGTTTGAGCCCCGTATCGGGCTCACTGCTGTCAGTGCAGACCCCACTTCAGATCTTCTGCCCCCTTCTCTCTGCCTCACCCCCACTCTTGCTCTCTCAAGAATAAACAAAACATTTAAAAAAATTCTAAATAATGCTCATTCTGTCGCCATCTTGATTGATTTACAAAAAGAATTTTTACAAATGACAGAGGTGGTAATACAAACCTTTAGGGAAAAGACAGATTTATTAATAAATGGATGAAGTAAAGCAAGCCAGAGTAGGGAAAAGAATGTGGAAGTATTTTTAAGGGATGTAATCCTGAAGGTTGGATGTTGCCTTTTTGAGTTGGCTGAAAAATAGAGAACATATGAATGATGATGTAGCTAGAAGGAATCACAGAAATGGAATGCTATGAAAATATGAGCTAAGCAGTGGGATTAGCCATGGCAAGAACAGAGAGACTTGAGTATCTGTAATGGCTTCAAAAAGAATGTCCTGGGCTGGTGAAAGGCCAAGTAAAACAACAACTGTGCTTTGTGAAACTTGTAGGGCAAACGAATGAAAGTAATATCAAATATTACATTTACATTTCACATTTTTTTTTTAATTTCATTTTTTTCAGGGACACGTATTATGGAATTTAGGATTGTTGGGTTTTGATCCATGACAATCTTCTATTGAGAAAAAAAAAAATATTTCTAAGGAAAATTTCCTCACAGATTTCTAAGGAAATATCAGCGTGGCTGATATGTGGAGTGCATATTAAGAATTCGGCATGGGGGCGCCTGGGTGGCGCAGTCGGTTAGGCGTCCGACTTCAGCCAGGTCACGATCTCGCGGTCCGGGAGTTCGAGCCCCGCGTCGGGCTCTGGGCTGATGGCTCAGAGCCTGGAGCCTGTTTCCGATTCTGTGTCTCCCTCTCTCTCTGCCCCTCCCCCGTTCATGCTCTGTCTCTCTCTCTGTCCCAAAAATAAAAAAAATAAA